CACTATTTTCAATGTTAAAACAACAATTTTTAACAATTTGGTGATGGTTTCTGCCTGAGAAATGCCTGAAATCATAAACTTCAAAGGCTGATTTCTCAAATATTGTTCTTTTTACAGCTGTGTATTCAAACGCTTGTAACTTCATAAGGAAATGTCCGATTTAAATGATTTTCCTACTATTTTATAGCTCTCATTTTACCGTTTAACCCTATATTAATAACTAAAAATTGATTATTGTGATGAATGACTGGTTTTGCTTCGTCAATTATATAAAAAAAAATATATATATATTTATTATTCTCAACAATTTACCGTTTATGAACTTCCTCCAACTCCTCCTCCTTACTCTTCTCGATTCTCTCTATTTCTAGTTTGTGCCTTGCTCTCATTTCCGACATCTCATTCTTCAGACGTCTGTTCTCCTCTTCAGTGGCAACCAGACGATCTGCAAACTCTTGTCGGATGACTTCTTGTACATTTTTCCTCTCCTTAGACAGTCTGTCACATTCCTGAAAATATAAAAAAAATTAAATTACTGCAATGATATATTTCATGCAGCAAACTATGGAATTTCCCCCATAGGCATCGTTCCAATGACTGGGGTAATAATTATCATCATCATTATTATTATTATTATTATTATTATAAATTATTTTGAATCAAGTATGAAGATAAGGTTTGTTTTATTACTTTTTGATAACTATGCTACAAATCAAATGTACTGTAAGAGTTTATTAATATTAATTAATTTTAATAATATAATAAATACCAAGATTTGTTAACAATAACTTCCTTCATAATCCTATATCATTATGAACACTTGTAATTAAAACTATTTTACTAAGGAGTATAAATGGGTACCTGGTAGGATGTTGTGGCATTGAATGTCCTACTATTAATTTTGTGTCCTGTTAAATGTGCACGACTAGGTATACTCAACAGGGAGCAGAGATGATTGTACTTTGTGCTGGTTTTCCATAGTATGTTATCCAGAAACCAAGGGTAGTAATGCTCAGTGCCTTTGATCATTCAATTTGGAATTGGTGCTATATAAATATTTGGCATTATTATTATTATTATTATTATTATTATTATTATTATTACATAACAGAAAAACATTGTAACCTAATGACAAAAACAGGAAGGAACAATTGAAAAAATGATAGTGAAGTACTTTAGTTAATGATGGTGATGATAATATTATATTATTTTTATTTTAGCATTTACTGTTGGCCATTCTTTTTCATGTTTATATGATATATTTTCATTATAGTTACCACAACTTCGACAAGAAATAAAACCTACATTAGATAGAGAAGATACTGCAATAAGCAACAACATGAACGGTGCTGTACAACCTAATATTATTTAATATACATACACATCTAAATACACAAAACACATAACATACACATGTATATCTATTTTCTGTCTTGTACATTCTGTTAGTACAATTTTAAAAGCATGTACCTAGTGGCTAGGTTATATCGATGTTGCTTTTCAATAAAACTGGTTTTTAAAAGTAAAAATAAATAAATAATAAGGGGATACTTCAAAATGTTCTTACCTGTTTAATGCCGTTTACATCCTCTTGTTTCTGCTTGATGAGCGAATTCAAGCGGATGTTGTCTCCCTCTACATCAGCTAGCCTTGCCTTTGTATCATTATAACGATCCTGCGTGTTTCTCTCCGATAACTCCATCTCTCGTAGTTCACCTTCGTATTTATCACGTATACG